AAGGAAGAACACACCAAGTGACTGCCCAGTGCCAGTCAGCCCTGAACACAAGTAATATTATCTGGATCAAATGAGTTATATTTAGGGACATGGACACGTGAGCAATAGCAATCAATGAAAAGGGAGCCATGATTTGAAGGAGTGGGAAGGAGTATATGGGAAGGACTGGAGAGAGGAAAGGGAAATGTTATTATAATCTCACAAATTAAAACAAACATCCTCCTAGATATTTATGCCCACCATGGAACGATGTTTAAATACCCTTCCTGCTATGGTTCTGGAACAAAGTACTAATTAAAATTGCTCCTTGGAGATGTCTGGAATTGTTCCAGACAGAATAAAAATCAATAGTGACATTCTTTGCACTCAGAGAGTCCCCAAATATAAATTTAGTTTTTCCGTGGATTTCCCACAGCAACCACCTTTGATCAGTAGTGGAACAGAGCTTGCAAACTGAAGGCTCCCTGGGGCTGAGGGATGTGTTGAATGGGGTCTAGTGCTCTTAATTTAAAAACCACAAAAATGGAAAATAAAATGGATGTCTAAGCTGGCCAGTATGCCCCATCAAGCATTTTGATGAAAGATGCAGTTTCTGAAACACTAAGAAATGGCTGGGGAATCCATGGGGATGCAGGGGAGTTAGAGCGGCTAAAACCTGGTCCCTGCTGTCCCATAGGCAGACAGCAAAGCCCTGATAGATGCTGCTCAGGGGAAACCTAATGTTTTTTTAAACATTCAATTATGGCTACACAAACATGTATTTTAAGCCACCAGCAGATCTCTGCACAAATTAGGGATGCTAGAAGGCAATTCAAACAGATTCCCTAAAATGAGTATTTTAATAAGAATCTGGCTCTGCTATGTGAAGAACTGTCTTACCATGGAGGAGTTTGAGAAGGATGAGGGGACTCTGCCAGCATCAAGTTTACATGATAGCTCCTGTGACTGAAGGGGCCAAGGCCACTCTTAATTCAGTTTTAATTGCTGAACACTTTTTAAAACTGTAACAGATTTCAGGATACCCAAGGGTCTGGTGCTCAATTGGTAGGCCATTTTTGCTCTCTGGGAGTTACTAAAGGGCTTTCAAAGGTCTTCAAAAATTGGTCTTGCACTATATGTCCTTTCGTGACTGGCACACATGTCATCCTTCCTCTTTTTAAATATCCCTATGTTTTGAAACTTTTTAAATGAACTTCTTTCCTAATTTATAATGTGGTATTTTCTTATCGAAAAACAATAAAGCCTTCATTTATGATCCCTGTATCCAGAGTTATACGGCATGCAGTTATTTAAAAATAAAAACAGAATACCATGTACACTATTTCCTAACACGATATTTACAGATATTTACATTGGGCACATTGTGGAATTTCTTTTTCAACAGTAAAGTGCTCATTTTAATCATCTCCCTCCAATATAATTTTGAGGAAGAGACTCAGCAGTGGAGGCTTTGAACCTGGGGCTAATTCCTAGGCTGTAACAGGCTGGCCATCTGATTGGTCAGGCCCTCTACTGTCCTGGGTGTTAAATATTTAAATAATATGTTCTTATTTCTTTTTTTTTTCTTATTTCTAACAGCTTCATTTGACTAAACTTTCTAAATTGGATTTCCTGGGCCAAAGGCTATGGAAATTAAAATTTAATTATAAGATAACGTGATTAATTACCTTTTATGTCTGACAGCATGTGGCGAATCATAACATCTTTATTTTACTCACAAAATTGTACATTTTGTATCCGTTGCTTCATTTTTACTAGACATGTAACCTTCTTCTAAAAAGGTCGCCCTGAATATTTGAGCAAAAACATCATTAAAAGAGTAATACCCAGACCATTCTAATTGTGAAGACATTAGTTTTAACAGCACGTGATCTTTAAAGTTGGCAAAGGTTGGGGCTGAGGATGGAGCGGAGTGGGGAATGCTTTCTTAGCATACACAAAGCCCTGAGCTTGATTACCAGTGCTGCAAAAAATAAAACTGGTACAACTAGTAATTGGTAAATCAAAGCTACAATGTCCAGACAGATAGACTATGTCCTCATCATGTATTTTAAATTTAAATTTATTAGTAATTTTTTTTCGTTTTGTCCAGAATTGGCCTAAAAATTCCCTATACAGACCATATTGACCTTGAACTTATGAAGAATCGCCTGCCTCAGTCTCCTGAGTGTGAAGATTACAATATATACCACCATGCCCAAGTAATCCATATACTTTTCAAAAAGATGGTTTATTTTTATTTTATGTATATAGATGCTTTGTCTGCATGCACATCTGTGTACCTTGTGAGTGCAGAGCCCATGGAGACTAGAAGCTGGTACTGAATGCCCTGGGACTGCAGGTCTAAACAGTAGGGAGCTGCCATATGGTGCTCTTAACCTCTGAGCTCCCGCCACAAGTGCTCTTAACCTCTGAGCCATCTCTCCAGCCCCATAATCCGCACACTTTAACCATTCAGGCTGACGAAGTGATTAGGAAGAAAGAAAGAAATTGAGAAGAGAGAGTTTCACGTTTCTAACTTCTCAATCTGAGGTTATCTTGGGAAAAGCCTAAAGAGTTGGACAGGAATAAATTGGGGCACCTTTGAGATGATTTTCCACACAAATTATCCTTTGTCTGTTGTTAGCCTGTATCATGCTATTTCCAATAACAGGGTGAATCACTTCCAGAGGGAGCCATGAGCAGAACGATTAAGCCACTCTCCAAACCCAGAGAACCAGATGGGGCCAAGACAGAGTTTTATGGGGAAGGGCATGTTATTAATGATGTCTAGTGAAATGATAATACATGGGATTGTACAAAGACCAAAGCAAAGCCACACTTATAAGACAAAGATCCACCTTTGCACTCACCTTGCCACCCAGGGTTTGCATATTGGTTTATTTTATTGATGCCGTTGGTTTCACCCCCTCCCCCCTTCTGCAGTGTTCTCTTTCTGGTTCTGGAACAGACTCTTTGCAGAAAAAGGCCAAACGATTTCATAAGGTTTTCCGACTCTTGTACCTGCAACCCTAAGACCATGTGCAAACTGCTAGGCAGCATGTTCCTACAACAGCTAGATACCCAGAGCATGTGCAACGCAGACATTTCTAAGACTTACTGCCAAACATAACAGCCCATAGAGGACACGTGACTCCGCGGACATCCTTAGAAGATTTTTTTTATTTGTTTTTCTGTGTCTTTCAGAGAGCATCTAGAATACTAGCTTTTGTTTTCTCATTGCTGTGACCAAATATTTAACAAGAAGGTTTACTCTGATTGACAGTTGGAGAGGACAGTCTATCGCGGTGGGGAAGGGATGGTGGCACAGGTGTGAGGCAGCTGGTTACACTGCACCCACTGTCAGGAAGCAGAGAGTAGACAAGGGAGACAGGCTATAAAGTCTCAGGGTCTGCCTCCAGTGAGCTACCTTCCCCACAGTGGCCCTACCTTCCAAATGGTTCACAACCTTCCAAATCAGTGTTACCATTTGAGAACCAAGTCTCCAAACACACGAGAACATTTTCCATTCTAACCACACCCCTTCATTACTTCCATGGAGATATTTTCAAAGCCATATACATGAAGCAATGGGAGGGGGAGCAAATTTACCACAATATTCTTACATGAACAAAAATAGAGGGGCTGAGGAGATTGCTCAGTGGTTATGGTTCTCACTGTACAAATAAGATGACTTAAATTAGGATCCCCAGCACCCATATAAAAGCCAACATTTACGATTCTCACACTTGGAAACAAAGACAAGAGGATCCTGGAGGCTTTCCCAGGAAAAACTTAGTGGTTTAGCTCCAGGCTCAGTGAGAGACTCTGTCTCAAAAAGCACAGTGAAGAGAGCAATTATGGAAGACAGCCTCTGACTTACACATATGAATACACATGATATGCACAGTTACACATGTATGTATACACACACACACACACACACACACACACACCCTAATTAATTACAATGTTAAAAAGATCTTTAAAATATTTACTTTCTGAAGTCAGGTACATATAAAGCAATTTAATTTTCTATTTATAACCCCGCATACTCAATCCATGCGCCTGAACCTTTACTTTCAAGTCATCAGTATACAAGAAAAACTAAAACATATCATATATCATATATGCATTGCTTTCCAAGTCTTTGATCCACTCGGTGGTGAAGGATAGACATGTAAGATGAAACACAAAGTGGCAGGTTGCAGATCCCTGGGAGCAGGCTGTGTCATTTTACATATACCCATTTAAAGTGTTTTGCCGCCTTAGATGCCGAATGTCAGGACAGTCTCTTCCATCTGACTTTCTTAACCACAAACTCAAGCTCTGATATGATGAGCAGCCTGATTTGTTCCCACTAAGACTGGCTCTGGCCTCTGAGACTGTATGTCCATAGTGGATGTCCTCCCTTCTCTCGCTGTTAGCTCCCCAACCCCCACCCCATCTTACTGAAGAGTGAGGAAGAGAAGCTAGCTCTCCTGCAAGGGGAAAGCTTAAAGCCCCCGGCCCCCGCTTTAAGCCAGGTGGGACCTGGCAAGAAGAGTTATTCTTTTAAACACAGATTGCTCTCTGGAAGACCTCATTAGCCAAAGTAAGAATTAAATAGATAAGAAAAGCCCTTTTGTAAGTGTGGTACTCATAGGAGGGCCGATGTGTGTGTGTGTGTGTGTGTGTGTGTGTGTGTGTGTGTGTGTGAGTAGGGGTGGGGGGGTTAAAGGAGACTCCAATAGGAGTTCTCAGTAGACACTACTTCTCTCCTGAGAAGCCATACGCAAAAGATGCCGATATCCATGCTCTCAGAAAAGCAAACAAAACAAAACAAAACAAAAAGGTACACTGTTTTCTAGAAATGTGTAATTTTTCCCTTAAAGGGACAAGTTTTTAAATTAAAGCCTAAGATGAAGTGAGTAACAGTGGAGCAAGCTCGCAAGATCAAACACATTCTGAGGGTAATGTAGATTATAGAACAGTGTCCCAACTTTCTCCGGTCACTGTGAACAAGAATGAATTTGACTTACTCATTCCTTTCCAGACTTAGGATCAGTTCTCGACTCTCCAGCTGCAGCTGCACAGTCAACACATCTGGATGATCCTGAAAGGTAAGCAGGAAGGGTTATTTGGAGAGCACTTGGCTTTCCTTGCCCACATCCTGATGCTCCACATCAGTGTAGTCAGGGGAGAGGAAGGAGGGGGTTGTTCAGAATGATTTTGAGGGAGAGGGAGGAGAGAAAAAGAGGAAGGTAGTGGGAGAGAAAAACTGATTTTCTTCTTGGGGACTTATTATGACTCCAAGTACTGAGGACCAGGGTGATAGAATTAAAAAAAAAAAAAAAATGGGACTCTTGGCCCTGCTGTGGCCTTTATACTCTTTTCCTTTGACTATTCTTCCTTTGGACCCTTAGCTCTGACCACAGATCCTGTCCATCCCATCCTCCCTTTCCTTGATCTTCCCCAACTGCCCAAAGAGCACCTCTATTTTTTACCTGCTCGTGGCAGAAAACCCTGAAGTCTTCCCCCCAGGCTCCCTGGCCCTCCTCTGCCCCCCCCCCGCCACTAGTGAATGCATGAACAGTCCCACAGAACAGCGACTCCCTCCCATCCTTCTCTCCACCCCATTCCTGTTCAACCGGCAGGCAACTTCCCTGAACACATGCCTTTCTCCTGTAAACTCTTTGAACCAGGTTCTCCTGGGTTTACCTTTCCTTTCTTCCCATCCATTCTCCAACAGTGGAAGGACACTCACACCTTCAGCCTTGCATGACCCTGTGCTCCTTTCCTACCCCACTGATAAGATACCAGGATTTGAACTCAGCCTATGGTTTCCCATATCCTCTCCATAACAGGCCTACACTGCCCTCCTCCCTCCTTACCTGACTGTAGTTCCTGGCTCTGCCTGCCCTTGGAGCACCAGAGTTGTCTTGCTGCCCTGAGAATTTGCATGTGCTGGCTTCTCTACCTGGGGTGCATTCCCTGTCTACTGGACTCAGCTTAGAAGTTGTCTATTAGAAGAAGCATGACCTCACCACCAATCTCCTGCTACTCTGTCCTTTATCCCTTAAATGGAAGGGGACTCATACTACTTGTGATCAGTGTGTTGGTTTGTGCTTCTTTACAATGACAGCAGGAGTGCTGGGTAAATAACAGGTAGGGAGTGAAGGAAGGAATCTGTCCATGCTAGAGAAATGGCTCTGCAGACCTCTCTTCCTTTTGCTCTACTACCATCCTCCCCTGCTTCACTCCTCTAACCCATTTACTCACATATCTGTGGATGCAGCCCAGTCCTGGGGATGGTGCTGCCCACATTTAGGTTGGGGCTTCCTACCTCAGTGAACCTACTGTAAACAATCTCTCACAGATATGTCCAGACACTTGTCTCCAAGGTGATTCTAGATCGTATCAAGTTGACAACCACTTCAAAATACCTTAGTATATTAGGAAAGGTCTGGGTGGTACAAAAAAATAATCCAGTAGAAGGAGAAAAGGGAGAGATACATCCATCCCAATCCACCCACTGACTGGCCATTTTGGTTAAAAAACCTGCTTACATCCATTTTCCTAATTGTTATTGACTGAAGACCTTAAAGCCTGGCATTCGTCTTCTTAAGATGACATATTGATGAATCACCTAATAGAATTACATCCTTTGTTGGATGTACAAAGAACTATATTTGTTGAGCCAATCAATCAAATGCTAATCAATATGCCAAAGATGTTTAGACAGTAGCTATAATTTTATCTTTTAAACTGAGGAAAGTACCTTTAAGCAAATAAGTAAAGTACATCAATGTTTCTTTTCAAAACAATAAAATAATTATAGGGTACATACTACACAAATGGAAATATACAGATTATTCCCAGAATTGTAGAAAGCCCATTTTCTAATTTGCTTTTTTGATGCTATAGTAAACACTATTACCAAAAGACACCTGGGGAGGAGGGGGCCTATTTGTCCTACAGGTTACAGTCCATCATTGAGGGAGGCCAAGGCAGGAACTCAAGCAGAGGAGTGCTTGAGGAGTGCTACCTACTTGCTTACTTCTCCTGGCTTGCTCAGTTACTTTCATTATATGAAGTTCAGGTCTACCCAGACCACCACAGTATTCATTCCCTGCCATGAAGACAGAAGACATGAGCAGAACTGATCTTCTCTTTCCTAATATAGTCTCTGAGGTAGTTTGGGCACAGTGATGGGAAGGTCATTACTGTAGCCTATGAACTCAGTTTACCCAGGCAGCCTCTTAAAGGCCCCCAGATGTTCCACAGGCCGAGGTTAGGGTTAGGGCTTCAGCACATAGATCTGGCAGGGCCAGGACGTAAATCAGTCCTCAACATCCTTTCTCCATGCTTACATCCCACTCATTCCTTACCAGAGGAAATTGTTATCCTGAAGCTACTAATCACTAATTAATGTTCATTAACATATTGATTTCCTTTATAATTTATTCCCACTGTGCCTATTTCTAAATAAACCTCTGGTTTTGTCCAGTTTTGAGCTTCAGCCTCATACCCAGCCCATTCCTCTATGACTCAGCTGGTTCTGCTTAATCTTATACCTGTAGATTCATATGTGTAAGGGTTGTTTGTTCCATGTGTTGTTCATTCTCATAAGTTTACAATATTCTGTTGTATGAACAATTTCTATTTCCACATTCATGTAAATAGATGCTCACTGACTTTTTTTTCTGATCACCTATCTCTTTGTACATGACTTTACACATCTGTGTCATGTCTGAAACTAAATAGGTTCTGTCGGTGGTGGGGTTTGTCTATCTGCCTTCATTGGGAATTTACTGTTTCTAATCTATTAATAGACTACATTCTCTCAGTTACTGGATATATTTTTCTGATACTCCACAACTTTATAGATATCTGACCCCCCAAAAAAAGGTCAGGCAAGAAAATTTGTTAAGTATAAAAGTGAATATTGTTAGGATTTATTTGTTTTATTTTTTTAAAAGATTTATTTATTTATTATGTATACAACATTCTGTCTGCATGTATCCCTTGCAGGCCAGAAGAGGGCAGCAGATCTCATTACAGATGGTTGTAAGCCACTATGTGGTTGCTGGGAATTGAACTCAGGACCTCTGGAAGAGTAGTCAGTGCTCTTAACCTCTGAGCCATCTCTCCAGTCCCTGGATTTATTTGTTTTAAAAGTTTCACATTTATTTGTTTTTTTTTGGGGGGGGGAGTCTGTGCCATGACACCAATGTGAAGGTCGGAGGTCAGCTTGCCAGAATTGGCTCTCATCTTCCATCACATGGATTCTAGGTCTTAAACTCAGGTCCTCTGGCTTATATGTAAGCACCTTATCTGATGATCCATCCATAGCCTGAGCCTTTAGTTTCCACCATTAGTGACAGGCAGAGAATGTTTGACTATTGGAACATGTGATACTGCTCTCTGTGAAATTCTAGTTCACGCTTCCTACCCCTGAGCTACATCCCCAGCCCTTTACATACATGTCAGTGATAGATTTTACCATGTAGTGTGTGCTGTGCTGCTCAGGGTGGACACTTGCTTGCTAATATCAATTTTCTACTGGAAAACAAAGGTCAGTAAGTCACAAATAAAAATTATCATTCTTTCTTTCCTCCCTTCCACAGTGTGCATGCACTATACACCACCACCATACACATACAACCACACACACACACACACACACACACACACACACACACACACACACACACACACACACAGACAGACACAATTTTCAATGACTTAGAAAAATCTGACCCTGACCTTGAAGCTGAGGCCATGTGACAGTGGCTTGGCACCAGGTTTTGCAGGAGCAGAGAATCACCTTCAATAGCCATGTCCATTCCCATCACAGCCCTGAGGTCACTCTCTCCAAATGACACATTCAGAGCCAAAGCCATCCATCTGAACCATCCATGCTGGAAGGTCAGGGGGATCGCGTTTTTCAGGCATAACAACAAATTAAAATATTGCATTCAAGGGAACTCAGGAATAACCAAATCCCTCTCCAGCACTAAATAAATGCTTCAGACTGCAGCCCTGGTGTTCATGGGGCACAAGGGAGCCATTTATTGCTATGAATATTTAGAGGCATCTTGATTACCACTTTAATATTAGCACGTTAACTCTACAGCCTGTGAGTTCTGCACATCACGGAATGCAAAGGCAAGACTGAATGAATGCAGGACAGCACAGTGAGGAATTAGGGCACTGCAGTACCATCATGGGAGGTCGCTGGCTTGGGGCCTATTAGTTATTACATAAGTGAAAGTGATTTTTATCCATGAGTTGGTGATCTTTATTTTTGCAGTGGAAAATTGGTATTAGCAAGGCATGTATGTGTCCAGCTGTTAGCAGATCACAAACTCTCCATAGTAAAAGCTGCTTTTGGTGGACACATAAGGTTCTGGAATTGTCTCACAAGGGTACAGTAGTTACCTCACTTGTGTAAGGCCCTGAGTTGGACACCTAGCACTGTCAACATGTGCACTTGTGTGCGCATGTATGCATGCATGCGTGTGCACACATGCAAAAACATACACACATATAAACATATGAAATGAGAGTTTTAGTTTTACTTTCTAATAGTGGGTTCATTAATTTTATTGGGAAGTCTCCCTCACTTCATTTTGTGGCCTAAGACACACTATAGCTTTGCAGCTCACTTCTGCCTCTGGAGAGCATATGTGTGAGTGACACACATGCAGGTATTTGTGAAAATGTACACATGGGCATGTGGAGGCCAGAAGTAAACCTTGGTGTAGTTCCCCCAGGTGCCATACACCTTGTTTTGTTTTGTTTGTTTTTGAGACAGTGTTTGTTCTCTTTGTTGACCTGGAGCTCACTTATTAGACTAGGCTTAGTGGCCAGCAAGCCCTCTTGTTTTTACCTCTCCAGCACTGAAATTACAAGTAAGTACCTCTACACACATGTCTGTGTGGTTACTGATAAGATTAATTGAGATGGTAAGTGCCCACTGTGGGTAGCACTATTCCCTGGGCTAGGACCTGGGACCATATAATAAAAGGAGCAAGCAAGATGAGCACAAGCATTCATTGCTCTCTGGTTCTTGACTGTGGATACAACATATCCAGCTGCCTCTAGCTTCTC